GCGAACTGTGGACAGGTGTAAATGGTGTGGCCAGCCGGGTCATCCTTTCGCAGAAGAACCTTCACAATCCGGAAAATCCATCTTGGGTTACAGATAAGACTTCATACACAACAGTACCTGGGTAGCAACGTTGCTAAAGAACTGAACTTATTTTTATTTTCTTTTTTCATGGGACGTCTGTGGCTGAGTGGTTAGAGCAGTCGTCCTCCAATGCAAGAGTTGGGGGTTTGAATCTACCAGCAGTCACATGCTGAAGTGTCCCTGGGCAAGACACTGAACCCCTCATAGCCTCTGATGTGTGTCCCATCAGTGTATGAATGTGATCTAAAAGCACTGATTAGTCTCATTAGAATGATTTGTTCAATTAGCTTTGTAGAGATCTAGTATAGAGCTGTATGAATGGGTCAATGAGGCACAGACTGTAGTGTAAAGCGCTTTGAGTATCTTGAAATAAGATAGAAAGGCGCTATATAAGTACAGTCCATTTATCATTTACCATAAAAGGGAAAGAGCTCTGTTTAATTTTTCTTGTATTTTATTTTTCTACATTTGTAAGTAAAATTGTTTCTGAATACTTGTGAGAAGCAATAAAATAATAAGTTCGGTATTCGGCTGGTGTGACATTACTCTTGGTGGAACCTAGTAGATGTTAGTGCCTGTTCCCTACTGGTCCACTTCAAGTTTCTTCTCGTGTTTAAAGGCATCAAATCAGTTAATACACACAAATATGCCAAAATAATCACACATTCAGTTGATTTTTATGTATTTTATTATAAAAATAATAATGTGTGATATGGTGATGAAAATTATGCATGACAAAAGTTAAATGAACATCAAATGACTTTGAATCAAAGGTCAAATTGATGAGTAAAATTAGTGAAACTTAAAAGGCAGACTTTGGACTAGTTTCTGTTTGTAAAGTGGTTAAAATTGTGTCTAAGGTAAGCTAATAATATTAGCTAATTTTTCTGATAAGTTTATTGTGATGTAGGGTCACCAGAAAAGCATTGAAAAGTCTCTCTCCTACTAGGATGTAGATGGTCAGAGCATGGTTCTGACAGCTGCTAATGATGCCAGCAAGGCCTAAGATGTTCCGGTGACTGAGAGGCAGAAGTCTCCTCAAAGTTCACCTGTCATCGGTTGGAGAGACAAAGGTCCGGCCACTGGCTCTGGAAGTCAGCTGGATTTACCACTCCTCTGCGGTGTGATTCTGGTTGCCTGTTAGGCAGCTGGAGCCCTGGATTCAATGCCAGCCTGGTTCTGGTCAGGTGCTGGGTAACTTCTGTATCTTTTGTCCTATCTCTCGTTTTGAGACGTCTGCAGAAGAGTGCTTCTTCTCTCTCTTTCTTCCTAGGATGTCTTGCTAGGAAGTATTCTTCTCTGAGTTGTAGTGCAAAAGCGTGTTTCTCCTCGCTCCCACTCTCTGAGAAGTGTGAAGGCTTTGGAGTTTCCTCTCCGTTCTTTGTTCAAGCATGTCTCTCTGGAGTTTTACTTAAGAAGTGAAACTTAACTCTGTGTTAGAACAGAGATAAAGGTTCATCTCGGGAAAAGGGGTGGTTCTAACTTTTACCTTGTTTTCAAATCCAAAGTCCCTTTTTCTCTGCCTTAAAAGTTTCCTTTTAAAGGAGAAAATAAGACAAATGTGTTATCTTAAAGAAATATTACTTATAACACACATTTTCATGAATAAACATTCAACATATGACATTTTAGAACTAAACTAAAAACATGCAATGTTTTAACAGAGGTGTCAATATTCACTGTCCATCTCCAGGAAAAGAATGTCAATTTGAACAAACAAAGGGTTCTTATGGTGTTATCTTCATGGGAATGAGTCTGGGAGAAATACTCCTTTTCGATAAGAGAAGATATCAACGTAGCGAGTTTGGATGTTTCAAAAACTCAAGAGGTCAGTTGAACAAAAGCTCTCATTAAAATGATCTGTCCGTTTCATGGGAAATGAGTTCATATTGGCAGTGAGGTTAACGCAGTGAATAAAATATGTGTTCATTCCCAAGGGAATAGATGAATCTTGTTTGAAACAGTTTAAAACACAAAACACAGGAATGATGGTTGTTTGAGGTGAGGTGAACTGTTTCTGAGATAAGGCGTTCTCTCTCTGAGGTGGTGTTCCCCTACAGGTGTAACGGTACACGTGGGTGTATTGAACTGTTTTGGTACAGCACGTTCGGTTCAGTCCACATGCGTACCGTTTCGGTTATTTTTTCACTCATTCAATTTTATTAACGAGAGATTATGCGCTGTGGAACTAAAGTTCCTAAGCGTGTTTCAGCACGGCACTATTATCTTGCAGCACGCGCAGCATTAGCAGCCTAGCATCTCGTTGTGGTCTCCTGTTTGTGAACATTATGTGTTTCTTGTTAAAAGACAAGTGAACAAATCCAAAGCTGTGTGTCGACGTTGTTTCACGGAGACTGGATCTGCAGCAGCAACACGTCCAACTTTTTAACCTGCTTGAAACGACATCATCCGAATGTGAACATCTTTTCTAGCAGCTTGGTGCAAAGAGCGATAACAGCAGCATTTAAACAACCGTTATCAGGTATTTCAGATCGTCCAAAGCAATAACACAAACTGTAGGAATTTTTAAAGCTCTGGATCTACCGAATGTACCGGAATGCCCGAATGTTGTTGATGCGCCGACTTTAAAGTTATTGAGCCTCGCTACGACGTCCCATCACGTCAACACTTCAGCCAAAAAGTTGTAGCAGCACTTTATGAAAAAGATAAAACTGATATTGTCAACAAACAAGACCCAAGATTAAAGCCCTGCTCTGATGATGATGAGCAAGAGATTCAACCACTTCATACACACACTCACAGTTCAGTTATTACAGACTTCTTAGCTGGAGGTGATCTGGTGGATCAAGAAGACTCAGCTGCTATCATCCACAGACTGCAAACAACACAGAGATAAAAAAAGAGTTAATAAGATGATAATTTTAAATTAAAAAAGTTCATTAGATCCCAATAATACAATAACAATACCTCTTCATGCATGATCATCATATGAGGTGGTTGAATATTCTCTGTCGCTCATCATCGATGTGGCAGGGCTTTAAATCTTGGGTCGGGCTCGTTTACGATATCAGTTTTAGCTTTTTCATAAAGTGCTGCTACAACTTTTTGGCTGAAGTGTTGACGTGATGGATGTCGTAGGCAGCAGGGCTTAAAAACTTTAATCATGTTTAAAACCGGCACATCAACAACATTTGGACGTAGATCCAGAGCTTTAAAAACTCCTTCATCTTGTGTTATTGCTCTGGACCGATCTGAATGACCTGATAAAGGTTGTTTAAATGCTGCTATCGGTCTTTGCACAACGGCTGTTTTTCTTCCTTGTATAAGAGATGTTCACATTCGGATGATGTTGGTTCAAGTGCGTTAACAAGTTAGACATGTTGCCTGTGGCAGATTCAATCTCCGTGAAACAACGCTGACACACAGCTTTGGATTTCTTCACTTGTCTTTTAACAAGAACAACATAATGTTCCCAAACAGGAGATTGCAACGAGATGGCTTGTTCATTGCCTGCTAGGCTGCTAATGCTATGAGTGCTGCAAGATAATAGCGCCGTGCTGAAACACGCTTAGGAACTTTAGTTCTGCGGTGCATAATCTCTCATTAATACCATACCATTTTATTTATAGAGCACTTAAAACAGCGACAAGGCCAACCAAAGTGCTGTACAGACAGAACAACAGGTAACACACAAAGCAAAATACAAAATGAAGTAAATCAGAATATAGACATAAAAATGATGCAGATAATTAATATAACGACTAACTGGTCTGGAGCATACAAGTTCAAAACACAGATCATCTGGTGTTGAAAGCTACTGAATAGTAGTGGGTTTTTAAACGGGATTCGAAAACAGAGAGGGAGGGGGCCTGTCTGACAAGCAGAGGTAACTCGTTCCAAAGTCTTGGTCCTGCTACAGAGAAGGCCTGTCACCTCTGCGCCTAAGACGAGTTCCTGGAACTGTGAGGAGCAACTGGTCCGCTGACCTCAGGGAACATGGTGGGACATACGGCTGTAGCAGATCAGAGAGATGGGGGGGGGGGGGGGGGGG